AAGATTACGAAATTAACTGTATTTTTCACCATATTAATTTGTATTTTTAAGACATTTTATGTTTTAATAATTTTTGATCTAAATTTTTTAAATTTTGAATATTTTTTATATATTTCTTAATGAATTAATGCATTTCTGATATGTATGAATAAAATACATACATATTTGAACATAAACACTGTAAAAAACCATGTCGTTCAAAAATGCCAACCCCTGTTCAAAGGTGCCCCCTGGGGGAGGGGCAGTTTTGAACACTTTGAGTTCGTCCATTAAAACAGTTATAAAATATATTTATCAAGCTTATAGTATGTCATATGTATATTCATTTTAAAGGTTACATATGTACCTATTAGTTAAAATTTATAAGAAACCAAAAATGATAAAATAAAAAATTTTATAAGGCTTGAAAGCAAAATGTGTTCAAAGGTGCCCCCCTCTCCCTTAATACTAATTGGGATCAAACAGAAAAATTCAAATAGATCGATAAATAAATAATTTTCCATAATCCTTTTTAAATGTTTATTAGCATTTTAAATTTGTATTTATTTCACAAAATCACACTAAACAATTCTATCTAACTACAAATATCATACATCAATTCCTTTATCATCCCTACCACCCCTTTCTTTTTACTTTTTTTCATATACATATCTATCAATTTTTAATTACAATTTTGAGATTTAATTATTTCAGGTTTGTGTCTCTTTTTTTGCATTTTCTTCATTTTAACTAAATACATAAATATGAAATAGTTGCTCTATATACATATATTTACTTTTTATATATACATATTCATACACACAAATTAGTGGAAAAACGGAAATATACAGATGTTATTTTCATTTGAGTTTTCGTTCTTGTAGTTCATTATGAAGCACTGTTCCTCTCTTTGCCTTACCTGGTTAGCAAATTAATTTTAACTCAGTTTTAAATGGTTGCATTTTTATTTGTTTTTTTTTTTTTTTTTAATATCAGTCTGGCAATGATTTTTTGTTTTGTTTTTAGTAGTATCTCCTCTGCAAAAAATGCATCTATATTTCATTTAATGCTTTCAATTTTAAAATTGGTTTTTATGTTGCCTGGCCGTCTTTTTTTTTTCTTTTTTTTTTTTTTTTTGATGTTGCTTGCCTCGTCACATAACTGCTGATGATTATTAACGGCTTAAAAGGCTTGGAGTTTTCAGTTTTGTTTCATTTTTCATTTCATTTATAGAATTATATTTATAATTGAGTTTTATTAATTGCTCTTTAGGTCGATATATATGAAATAATATTAACTTCCGGCAGAGAGTTGAGAAAAAAACTGGATATCAGAGTCAGAGAGAAATGCAAATAAAATAAAAATAAAACTACGATTTACAATATCCCTTGGTTTGTATTTGGTATACAGTAAAAACATTAAAATATTGCAAATGATTTTTATGAAAAGGCTTCACTGTATTTAATTCCAACAAATATATAACAAATCCCTGGAAATAAAAATCACATATTTCCTCGTTTTTTTATTGGGAAGCATTTTTTCGTATACATTTACTTTGTCATAATCAATTGCAATTTTGCTGCAACTTAAATTGGAGTTTTATTTCTCTTCTCCATTTTTTCCATGTTGTCTTTTGTTCAAATATTGTGCCCTTTTTACCACTTGGAGTTTCATCGTTGCTGCCTTTGATTTGTTGCTGCTTGTCATATAAATTATTGTTGACATCCATCCACAGTCATTCATATGTTGGCAACACAACTGCATACAACCACACGACACAGAACATATCCAACCACAATCAAATACAACAGATTTTATGGTTCCCAGCATAAAATGCAATACAACACATTTTCCAATTTTGTAAATTCTCACAAAACTCACAAATTACATGGGACATGTATGTGTGTATGTATGATTGTCGTTACAGTTTATGGCATGGCATTTTTTGTTTTGTTTTTGTGTTTGACAGTTTTTGTTGCTATTGTCTTTATGTTGCATGCTTAAAAAATTAATCATTATTGATGTATTGTTAAGAACTGAAGACAAAAATATGAAATAAAGGCAAACGTTGCTTTAATTTGATTTGCATGATTTGTTGTGATAAGATTTATAGAACTTGTTTTTTTTAATATTTGATTAAAAAATACGTTTATTATTGTTAAAGATTTCTTTGTTAGCCATCGATCAAATGAAACAGATAAATGCATGACGGATTAAACCAGAGTACTACAACTACGCTCTTTTATTTTTTGCATGCTCGGTAACATTTTACGTCCGACACTCTTTATTACCGTCCATCAACAAATCATTGTTGATATACCAAGTGTCTTAGGTTTTTCGAGAGAGTGAGAACAATGAACGCATAAAGTAGTTGGTTTACTTACTAAATCACAGTCGGGCGAACAACCGCACGCGTGCGCTATCGCGAGTGTAAGTATCAGTATTCTCTCACACACATTCAACTGAACCAATTGAAGAACCATTGGCACACACACACAAATACTAGTGCGTGAGAACAGAATTTTAACGCTCTGCGTGTGCCTGTACTAAATCATTTTGTACCATACAATATCTCTCTCTCTTACATTCTTGTTCACTACAAAAGAACAAAGTGTTGTTACAGTTCCGAGTGAGTCATGCTATCCGAGAGAGTAGCATGACTATTGTATGAGCATATAGACTAAACATAAGTAAGTGACCATAGTAAATGTTATGAGTATGCTAACCATACGATCGTAAATCAGCGAATGTTGTTGTTGTTGTGGTCGCAAAAAAACTCGAGTGTCGAAGACATGTGTGTGTATGAGACTGTAAGTGGATTAATTTGGCTTGTGTAGATGTCGTATATGAAAACAAATAAGAACTATGGTGCGTATGATCTATAAATAAAAAATACTCATACGCTGCGGAGTACCGCAATAATGTTGACCACTAGAGTTGTCGCTTTAATTACAAAGTAATCATATTTGCAGAATATGAAGAAAATATTAAATATGAAAAATCTTAAAAATAATAAAATGCTTCATTGCACGGATATCCAATGTGCAGACAAAAGAGCATAAGAAAAAGGATTACCTGAGAATTTTCAAAAATTTCAATCGGTTTTTGTGTAAATGTAGACAACTTTCGGAATAAAAGTAGCTTACCCATTTATATGCCTATACCGAAGGTATTTTGGACAATTTCTTTTAGGCCGCCTAGTATTTCTTTCGAGATCCGGTCATGCTAAATATAAGCCGTTTCGGCTATAAACTAGAAATTATACACTTATGTGATTTTAACATTACATGAAGACCGTTAATAAAAACATTCTGGGAACTATCTTTTTAAGAACACAGAAAATAACATAGAACATCCACGTCGAATAGAACATGCTTTTAAGAATTTAACAATATCGAAAAACGAAGTGTTATTTATATGGCAGTTCATGGATCCAAAATATGAAATAAGAATCAAATCAGTTGGGGCCACCTCTATACATCATGCATATGCATACATTCAAAAATTTCTGGGTCAACGCTTTGAGAATCAAAGAAGTCACTTATATTGGAAAACATGGACATTAACCTCACAGTCCAAAATTTTATCAATATCGATAACTGTTCTTCAGAATGATGAAAATTAAGAATTGATAGTTGCAAAATATATTAATCTAATCTAAAATATATGTTAAAATAAATGCATTTTTTAATCCACTCTCGTCCAAATCTTGAATATAATCCTTTTCTTGAAAAAAAGAAGATGATTTTAAACATCTATATTCTGAAGGATCTTCAAAATGTATATTTTTTAATGATCTACCCTCAGTCTATGCATTGCAATATGATGATTTTTTTTTTCAAACTATACGTTCTGCATAATATAGAAACGTATATATATTTTATTAAAGCCATAGGCTGCAGGATATTGGGATATATATATATATATGTAAATGTAGACACAATATTTTTTTAAGTCCACGCCCTGCAGGTTACAAACATCTCCAAAACTCATTTTTGGGTGCATATAGAATTTTACAAAAGTTCGCGTTTATGCTATGCTGGATATAGAAAAAATATTGTTTTAAAATCCTACAGAAGTTAATATATATATATATATATATTTTTTTTTTCTGTAAATACCCATTCTGTAGGGACTTTGAGAAACCTAAACCTTATGAGGGTTAATCCTATGAAAATGGGAAATAATCCTAAATAATTTCGAAAATTGAATGGTTAAAGTGGATCTAATTTAAAACGGATTTCATCTAGTTTTCAAAATTTCTGCATATTAAATTGGCAAATTTAATATGTAAACTAATGCACATTTGCTTGAAAAAAGTTATCGATAAAATACTCTATAAGGAAACATGTGATTTTAATTTAAAATCTCTAATATTTGCTTGGAATTTCGCAAAGTTAAAAAAATATATATATCAGAAATTTGGAATCATGGAAAAAATAAGAAAGCAATAAAAAAATAAAATTGCATATGTTGTGTTCTGTTTTTATCTTCTAAACTTAAAATATTCGATTAGGAGAAAAAAATAATAATAATTTTGTATCATTTACTATTGCTAAATTTTTCGCCAACTCATTTTGCTTCCGATATTGCACTATTTTCTTTTGTTTTCAAATATTTAAAAAATATTTTTTCTCCAAAACATAATTTGCTTAAATACCCCACACAAAAAAATATTAAAAATATTTTTTTTAATTTTTATTTTTTGGAGTTGCATTTTTAAATGCAATCCTCCTATCAAATACCTCGTCCTGTGTTATTGTTCTTGGTTTGCTGTATTGTTGTAGTTCATTCGTTTGTTCGTTCGTTCATTTTAATTTGTTGTGTCCACACAAAAGAAAATGGTTATGATTTTTTTGTTTTGTTGCTTTGTTGCCTATCATACATACAAAAGGAGGAAAACAAATATACCTACATTCGCCTTTTCTTCAGTTTTTGGTTTCTTTTTCTACTCCTTCGTCTCTATTCTCACTCTTTTGTTTTAGTTTCTGTTTTTTGGTTTTGGTTTTCGTTCACCCCTAATGACTAAGTTGCGGTTATTCTTCTCCTTTTTACACTTAAACACAACTCTCTTGCTGCGAATACATCAACGGTGTCCGCACTGTAACAATTTCCCGGGAATAGGATTTTCCCACGGCCGACAGTCCTGATATCGAACTACTGGGACTTGTGACAGCCGCCGTTGCCAAACCGCTGCTGTTACTCGATACCAATACCTGTCCCAATGGTGGCGAGGGCAGCTGCTGTAAATGCATTTGTTGTTGTTGCTGTTGCTGGTGTTGTTGGTATGTGGGCGGCATGGGCAGGGTGCCATGATGATACTGGGATGCCGGTGTTGCACCACTACTACTGCTACTACTGTTGGCGGCCGCAGGATTTTGAGCATTACCCATCATTTGCATCATAGATGTGGTAGTGGAACTGTGTGGAGGCACATTCTGTTGATGATGATTATGAGGCAGAGTATGATAGCCCCCAGGGTGGGGTGGTAGCGTATACATTTGTACAGTGCCCGGCGACACAGTGGAAGGAGTGCCCTGGGAATTCGGTGACGATATACAGGGCGGGAAGGGTGACACCGAGCTGGAGTTGCTAGCACTGGCATTGGCGTTCTTGTAGTGATCTATTTGGGCATATATCGTTGGCTCCTCGAAGTAGTCATACGATGGAGGCGGTGCTATTGTTTTGTTACGTTGCAGGGTACTCGTGGCCGGTATTGTGGGCAAGAGTTTGCGTACACTGCTGCCGTGGGGCAGTGTGCCGCCAGTGATGCCACCGAGATTGGGATTAATACCGGCACCCTGTAGCAGCATGCTACTGCTACAGTCGACCGAAATTGATTTTTTGGCTGCTGAACTGGAGGCACCACCACCGCCCGATGGCAATGAGAGTTCAGCATAGTGTAGCTCCTCATCCTGTAATAAAAGAAGCAAGTGGTAGGAGACAAATATGATGAATAAGTGGAAAGGCAGAGCGAAATGAGTTGGTGATTAAAAGTAAACATAAATTATGTAATTCATTAGTAATTAAAATGTAATTTTCTTTGCAGTGCTGTTCGGCGGCTGGTAAGTGTGTGTGTGCGTCTACATGAACGAACGTCAAGCTACACCTTACAATGACACATTGTTATCATTTAAGTACACGAAAAGTGTGGCAAGTTTCTTAACGTAATTTTGAAGTTAACGGTAATGCGGGTGAGTGGGAGGTAGTGGATTTTAAGGAAATTATAAAAACACAGTGGTAAACTGTGACAGTTCTTGAAAAATTTACTAGAATTCAAGCTTCACGCTCCTGATACTCCTTGGAAAAAATTCCTTAAAAACATGATTCGGATAGTTCGTGGAAAAAATTATTTAAAAATACACGCCTCTGATAGTTCTTGGAAAAAATTCTTTAAAACAACACGCCTCTGATATTTCTTTGAAGAACCTATTTAGAAAATTCACGCTTCTAATAGTCAGTGAAAAAATGGTCTTTAGAAAATCCACGCTTCTTATAGTCCTTGAAAAAATATTTTTTATTGAAAATCCACGCTTCTAATAGTCCTTGAAAACAATAAATAAAAATAATAAAAAAAATATTTAAAAAAAGTCCTTGAGAAAATATTTTTTAGAAAATCCACGCTTATTATTCTGAAGGTCCTTGAGAAAATATTTTTTAGAAAATCCACGCTTATTATTCTGAAGCTGTGAAAAATATTTTTTAGAAAATCCACGCCTTATGTTGGCCTTAGAAAATTATATTCTTTAGAAAATCCACGCTTCTAATGGTCCTTAAAAAAAATAATAATTAGAAAATCCACGCTTCTAATGGTCCTTGAAAAAATAAATAAAAATTATAATTAGAAAATCCACGCTTCTAATAGTCCTTGAAAAATTATTCTTTAGAAAATCCACGCTTCTAATAGTCCTTGAAAAAATATTTTTTAGAAAATCCACGCCTACTATGACCCTTGAAAAAATATATTTTAGAAAATCCACGCCTACTATGACCCTTGAAAAAATATTTTTTAGAAAATCCACGCTTCTGATAATCCTTGGAAAATATTCCTAAGAAAATCCACGCTTCTTCGAATAGCACTTAAAAATATTCTTTAGAAAATTCACGCTTCTTCGGATAGTCCCTAAAAACTATTCTTTAGAAAATCCACGCTTCTAATCGTCTCTGAAAAAATACTATTTAGACAATCGACCCTTATAATTGTCCCTGAAAAAAATATTCTATAGAAAATCACGCTTCTGACAATCCTTGGAAAATATTCCTAAGAAAATCCACGCTTCTGATAATCCTTAAAAAATGTTTCTTCAGAAAATCCACGTTTCTTCGGATAGTCCTTAAAAAAATATTCTTTAAATAATCCACAAAATTCTTCGGATAGTCCTTGAAAAAATATTCTTTAGAATATTTAAATAACCCGCCCATAATGATAGTCCTTGAAAATTAATGCTCAAAACATCCAAGCGTCCTTGAAAAACATTTTTTTAACTCCACGCTTTTGGACACCACTTAATTTCTCTCTAAATTTGTATAAAATTTAAATTTTCATAAAATTGCAATCAAAACCCAACACAAAATAATTTTTTTCACTAAATGTAACCCACTGTTCCGAATTTTGATTTTCGTTGATAATTAAGATGGCGTCAAACCTTGTTAATGATTCACTAAAAACGCCCGAAATAACACAATAGGTTGATGTTAGCATTGCCAAGAACAACAACATCATCATTATTATTATTTTATTGCTGTTGTTGCTGCCTCATCCGCTGCTGCAGCTGCCTATTATACATAAGTTAGTATCTTATAATGTGGAGCAAAGTTACAGGCAGCACATTAAGCAAAACAAACTTTAAGCAATTAATGCAAAATAATTCCACAAAGTTATTAAACATTCAATTTCATTGTAAAACAAAGTAATCAAAACTTTTGACAGTATTGTCTTTCAAGGAGCCTGGCACAAGTGCAAACATTGCCACTCACACACACACACACATACGTACACCTAGAGATAGAAATGTGCAGAGGTATTGGTGATTCTGTAAAGATTTCCAAAAATAAATTTCAACATCATCGTCATCCTCATCATCAAAAGACTTGTCATTCATTGTCATCAAATGCCAGCTTGTTGGGCTACTCATCAGGACAACTAAAACAAAAACTTTTGTCGTCTTAATTTTCATTCATTCGTTCGTTTTTCAGGGCCTTTTAACTAAGGTATTAACGAGCCAATATGCCGGCGGTTCACCATGAAAACTTGTCCACCGGAATTTTCGACAGGCAACAGATGTATTATAAAACTTATACGATACAATACTCTGGCCAATCTGTGTACAACACTATATCTTACAATCATGGGGTTATATGTATGTGTAGCAATGTATGTGTAACAAACTATACGTAACCAGAACAACGACCAGAAGAAGAAAAGGAAGAAATTGAAAAAGTAAATCTTTATTAAGATGCTTAAAAGTCTAAAAGAACAGAACTTTGAAATTTTTATTAAATAGAAACAAAAACTTTTCTTTACTTGGTGGCTTCATCTCATGTTACAGAAGAAAGAGTTATTTTTGTTTTAATGAAAAGTTATTGGCTATGTTGGGGATCTTAGTAGTCATTAGGGATTCATGGGCATTTCTATAGATTCCCATGGAAGGAAGGGTTTGTAAAGAATAGATAAATTATGAAATAAGGGAAAATAAACAGATACAACAGATGTGGAATTTGGAAGGATTCTTTCTCATGATTCTATTAGCATTGCGAATTGGATAGGGACTTTGGTACACAATTTGCGTAAACTATTATGAAACGATATTCGATATTTTCGCGAAACTTGGCAGGCATCATTCTAGGCTCAATTCAGTATGTTATGCCAAATTTCGTGCAAATCGAAAGATATTTAGGACTTTGGTACACTATTTACATCAAATAGGACAAACATATGTATGAGAGCTATACCTAAATCTGAACCGATTTTTTCCCAATTTCAATAGGGTTCGTCCTTGGGCAAAATAAGCGACCTATGCCAAATTTCACCCAATTCGGATCATAAATGCGACCTGTACTTTGTTTACAATTTAACATGGACAGACGGACGGACGGACGGACGGACGGACATGCATAAATCGACTTAAAAAGACATTCTATGCATATTCTCAAAAGGAACCATGTGTCCATGTCCTTTCCTTTTGCCTGTTACAAACATATGCACAAAGAGTAATACCCTGTACCACAATGTGGTGAAGGGTATAAAAGAATATTTTTGAAGCATAAATCGTAGCTATACCCTACAGAACTATGTTGTCAGGGTATTATAGCTTTGTGCAGCCCCAAAAGTTTGTAACGCCGCGAAATATTGGTCCTAGACCCACCTTTAAGTATACCGATCGTCATATCTCGACTAGCTGAGTCGATCTAGGCATGTGTGTCCATCCGTCCATCTGTCCATTATATTTTGAAAACACCATACAGGCCACAGTTATGGACCAATCTTCACGAAATTTTGCATGTAGGATGGGTTCCGGCCAATGAAGACCCCTATTGTTTTTGGGAAAGATCGGTTAATATTTAGGGGATGAAATGGACCAAATACTAAATTTTTGTCGGTTTTTCTGGTCGCTCCAGAGGCCGCAATAATGGCCCGAACATCGTGAAATTTTCCATGGAGAAGGCGATCGGGCCAAATAATAAGCATGCCTGTTTTCATAAAGATCGGTCAATATTTAGCGGGTCGAATGGACAATGACTTTTGTGTGAAAAATGACAAAATTTGTATTATATAGCGTATATATTTTTATACTCGGATGTGGGAATTACACATAAATATTTACAGGTATATCCATATTCGTATATTATTTAGTAACCCATAATCACTCTAGAGAGCGGAACTATAGCGCTGATCGCTTTGAAATGTTCCATGAGGTTCCAGTTATGGTCAAGGACAACGCCTATAATTTTCGGTGATGATCAGATAGTAATTTTGGAATGAAGTGGACCGAAAACTTTTTTTTTTGTGTTATTTTCGGTCTATAGATAGACTCGAACAAATGAAAGCCGAACATCACAACACAACCCACGGTGAAGGGAATCTGGGCAATGAATACTCGTAATATTTGGAAAATATGTCAGTGTGAGGAAGAGGTTTACCTCTAATCGGGCAAGAGGGTGCAAATACCACTAAATATTGTCCAGGCTCGGAATAAACATCCGCAGAAAATTTGAGTTCAGTGGTAGTTGTGTAGGGTAACGTATGGTCGGCTCCGCTCACTGTTTTTTTTTTATATTTTTAAGGGCTAAAGAGCATAGTTTTGAAGGGTCAACAGGAGCGTGCTTTTTAAAAGGACAACCAAAGCGTATATTTTATAAAAAAAAGTATTTTTAAAGAGTCAACAGACACGTAGACTTATAAAAACCAGTAAGGAAAGAAGTAAAGTCGGGCTTGGCCGACTATATGATACCCTTCACCACTTTTGGTGTATTCTACATATGTATTCATACAACTAATTGCATGCCAAAGTTTCATCGAAGGAACATAATCGTGTCTTTCTACAATTTAAATTAATTTTAATTTTGCAGATTTAGACCATGGGACAAATTTATGAAAAACGATTTACAGCAAAATTGATACACGCTATTCGGTGTTAAAAATATAATTTCAATCAGACTTTCGTTCAAAATATCTATGGAAGCTATGGCTGCAACTGCACCAATTTCAACAAAACACAATATGTAAAATCGGACAAATATATATGTATATGTTGGAGCTATATCGAAATCTGAACCGATTTTTCCGCAACTTACTTACCGTGCGAATCGAAGGATATATAGGGACTTTTGTACACCATTTACATAAAGTCGGATGAAAATTTGTGGGAGGATATATAGGGAGTTTTGAAACTTACCACACATTATTTACATAAAGTCCTATGAAAATTTCGTGCAAATGGTGCATCTTTAACATTAAATGAATATAACAGAGTTTTCACGAAATTTAACACACACCGTTCTGAACTTAATTCAGTATGCTATGCAAAATTTCGTGTAAATCGACAGTTAATTGCATTAAATCGGACGAAACAATATATGTGAGCTATATCTAAATCGGAACCGATTTTCAGGAAACTTAACACACACCGTTCTGAACTTAATTCAGTATGCTATGCAAAATTTCGTGTAAATCGACTTTTATACATCAGTTACATTAAATCGGACAAAAATATATATGGGAGCTATATTTAACTATGAACCGATTTTCAGGAAACTTAACACACATTATTCTAGTCCTAATTCAGTGCAGTATTCAGTAACTATGCAAATCGAAGGATATGTAGGGACTTTGGTACACCAAACCGGTACTCTGTTTACAATGTAACATGGACAGACAAAACAGACAGACGAGCGCACGGATATGCATAAATCGACTTAGAAAGTGATTCTATGCATATTCCCAAAAGGAACCATGCATTTAACACGTCTCCTTTTACCTGTTACAAACATATGCACAAAGGCCATGTACCACAGTGTGGTGAAGGTTATAAAAAGGAAAATTATTGAATGACCAAAAAAAGCGTTGATTAAAAAATATATATTTTTTGAAGCGTAGATTTTTAATAACATAAAAATATATTTTTGAAGAGTCAATTTAAAGTATTTTGTAAGAAATCTTTCTTCAAAAAATGTTTCTAAAGCCCAATATGGAGACAATTTTCTTTTCAATTGTGCTACTGTGATCAAAAGAGCGCATCATTTTGAAATTGTATTAGATTTGTGGTAAATATTTGTCAAGGACAATATTTTCCACAGCGGTTTCCTTAAATGTCTTAAACAGACATATACATACACAACAAATTCCATCAATATATATAAAGCAGACACAAATATCCCTTAATTTTAACACACATCATGTCTCATATCCTCACACACACACCCATTCAATCATCTATCCCAAGAAATCCTGCAAAATCATTTTTGGCTATGGAATTTTGTTTATATACTGTTGTTGTTGTCGACGATGTTGAATACTTACATTATTGCTTTGATAGAGGACACGTTCATCATTTGTGGCCTTACAGCTGATTTCCGCTTCACTGGTTGTCGATAAATGACCGGATGGTGTTTGTGTTGCTGATTTCTGTTTATATTCACCATCGACTGCAATTTTTGGCAGCAACACGTTCGGTTGAAGATCGTCGTCGTTGTTGTTTTTGTTATTTCGAAAATTGTTGATTTCATTGATGTTGGTTGTTGTTGTTGTTATTGAAGGGAGGAAATCATTAGAAACACGGAAATTAGTTTGGCAACGACAGGCCAAAATCACAAAGACGGCAAGGATGGAGCAACATGAAAGAGAAAAAGAACACGAGAAAAAATGTATTTCATAAATAAAGGAAATTTATAATAATTTAAGGGTAAATTTAAACGAAAAAAGGGATTAGTTCATATTGTAAAAAAATAGCTTCAAAGTATTTAAGGTTTTTTTTTTTTACTTAATATAACTAGCAGATCTGAAATTTTACGATTTGAAAGGCTCGATTAAAAACAAAAAAAACAATTTCCAAAGGATTATTTTTAATACATGGGTGGTTTTTATTTAGTTGCCACATATCAATAATTTCTCAGATACCCAGTTCATGACATTCCAATAAAAGACCTCATTGAATAAAATTCTGAAAAATGCCCTTTAGATATTTATCTCAATCAAACATTCAATTTTCTTAAATATTTTCTTTGTAAAACGATTTTCTAATTTAGCCCAGTTTCGTCATGCATTATCCTATGCCATTACATACTTCCCATAGACTAACGTACACGCACAAAAAGTACACCTAGATGTACACACACATACACCCTTAATGCCATACTCAATTTAAAGCAATTAATCTTAACTCTTTTCTCTATCTCTATTCCTGGGCTTTTTTTCAGGTTAGCTTGATATCTTTAATTTCCCCATATACCACATTAATTCCCACATGTTTATCCAAGATTTTTGCCAATTTCTACACCTATTCGTTGGAAGTGGCATGAAATAATCCGGGTTTTGAAAGAGGTACGACGAAACAAAAACAAGCCTTTATCGCAAAAACGTAATTTAGAAATCTGTAATGGAAGGTGATACAAAAAGAATAGGAAGGAGGAGTGAGAACTCAGTTAACGGAATTCGTTTTTACATACATTTACCTAGGGATGTGTGTATGTACGAAGTGTCAATGTCTGTTTAATGTTTGAAGAAGGCAGCATGTTTGTGCTACTGCCTCCTACTGAAGATCCTCCTTGAATGCTTCTGTGCCAGCATATTTGCATAACCTCAGGTAAAATATTTCCTGTACATTTTCAAACTACAACATACCGGCCAATTACATTGAGAAAAAACACTGGATGGATGAGTGGTCGGCAGCCAAGAAGGAACATGAAGCCATGACCAATGACAAAACAGACTATGGTCAGTGATTTTTAAGATAACATTTTCAAGGGCTCAAAATGATTGGATTTTGTGAGGACCAATAAATGTGGAATTGTTTACAAAATATATATTTTATAAGACTATCAGAACAATGATCGTATTTTTGCAAAGACAATCAGAGCAATAAATGAGGGTTTTTAAAGGATATATATTTTTTCAATGTCCATAATCGTGGATTTAAAAAAATATATATTTATTTCAAGGACCATATCCTGGATTTGTAACGGATATTTTTTCAAAGACCATAAGTGTGGATTAGAAAATTGTTACTTCAAGGACGTTAAGTATTATTGCAGGATATTTGTTTGAGGACCATCAGAGCTATAAGCATTGAATTTCAAAGGATATATTTTCAAGGGCCATCAGTGTAATAGAAGTGGTTTTTAAAATGAGGTATTTTCAAGGACCATCTGAACAATCAACGTGGATTTTTAAAGATGTTATGATGAAGAATTTTTCAAGGGCCATCAAAGCAATAAGCGTGGATTTTTTAAAATATTTTTTTTGTGGGACCCTCAGGATTTATAAAATATATTTTTTTAAGGACTATCACAGTAATAAGAGTGGATATTTTAGGGACAATTTTTAAGGACAACTATCAGGTCAACAAAGGATATATTTTTAAAGGATATCTTTTCAAGGCTTATCAGAGTAATAAGACTGCATTTTCAAAGTATATTTTTTCAAGGACCGTATGGATTTTTTAAAATATATTTTTGTAGGACCCTCAGGATTTTTAAAATAAATTTTTTGAAGGACTATCAGAGTAATAAGAGTGGATATTATAGGGAACATTTTTAAGGACAGTCAGAGTAATAAGCGTTAATTTTTAAAGGATATTTTATTTTTAATGACTATCAGCCCAATAAGAGTGGATGAAGAGAGAAGAGAGAAATGGAGTGGAAAGGATATCTTTCCAAGGCTTATCAGAGCAATAAGACTGGATTTTCAAAGTATATTTTTTCAAGGACCGTAAAAGCAACAAGTGTGGTTATTTAAGAATGTATTTTTTAAACCTTTAGACCAATTAGTTTTTAGAAGTTAGTATTTTTTAAGGACTTTCCGACCAGTAATTATAGATTTTAAAAAAAAAATTTTAAGTGCCATCAGAGCAATAAGCGTGGATATATTTTTTTCAAAGGCAATCAGACAATAAGCGTAGATATTTAAAAGACATTTTTTCAAGGAACCTGAGGGCAATATGGGTAGTAATAAGAAGGACCAACAAAGCAATAACAAGAAGGCTTGTATTTGCAAAGGATATTTTTTCAAGGACCCTCATGATGCTTTGAGTCGTAAAAGATTTTTTGTAAGGACCCTCATAAGGCTTGGATTTGTAAACGATATTTTTATAAGGACTTGGATTTTTAAGAATATTGTTTCAAGGACCCTCAGAAGGCTTAAATGTTAAAATAAATATTTTTAAAGGACCTTTAGAAAGCTTGGAAGACAATCAGGAGGTTTAAATTTTAAAAGGATATTTTTGTAGGACCCTCAGAAGGCTTGGATTTTTTAATAATATTTTTTTTCAGTTCCCTTAGAAGTCGAGGATTATTATAGGATGTTTTTTTCAAGAGCCTGCAGAAGGCTTAGATTTGTAAAGAATACATTTTTCAAAAATCCTCAGAAAGCTTGTTTAGGGTAAATTATTCCGATTCTAAATTTTTTTGGTAAAAATATTAGTATTTTTAGAATTTCACTCCCACAGTTTAATTCCCTGACTCGATGCTGTGTGTGAAGAACACAATTTTCCCCTGCAGCACATACCGACTTACTATCATATTTGACTAACGAAATCTAACAACATTCTTGGTGATGCTACTGCAACTACTGGTATTTTTTGTGCTAGTGTTTGTTTGGTATATATGTAAAAATACGAATACTACAGTACTTCATTCTCCAAAAAAATGAAGAGCAAAGCAAAATACGTTTTCATTTTTTCCTCATTTTGTTTTTTTTTTCGTTTTGTGTACTTACCTTCTTTATATGGCACCACATCCGGATTCTTTTCGTCATTCTTCTTTTCATCGTACCTGGAATCTTCGGTATGACTTAATGGCAGAGAGCTTTTATCTTTAATTTGCAAATTGTCAGGACGTGAGAATCTCTGATTTTGATGTTGATATTTTTGCTGTTGTTTGTGCGAGCGCAATTTCAATGCGGCAATTGTACCGATGCCAATGCACACAATTGCCACTAATATGCCCACAAATATGCCAACGGAGAGTATCGGTGTCAATTCAATATTTGTCTGTGAACCTTTGTACGATGTCAAAGCCACTGTGGAGTATGGAAAAAAGAATGGAATGAATAAAAGTAAAATAAGAACACAGAAAAACGTGCAAATGTCAGCAATTCAAGTTTGAAGAGGACAAAGGAAAATCATGAAATAAACTATTTTTGCAATAATATACATAACATTAAATGTGAAAAGAATGAATTTGTATTCTGTTTGACCAAGTTTCCGGTTTACACTTCAGCGTAAAAAACAGGATTTACAATTTTATGCTGCCTCATATAAATATTGTTGTAGATTTTTGTAAAATGAATGGTGACAAGATTAATTTTTTTTCAAGAACCAATAGAAGAGGTGCTTTTCACAATGTTTTTAAAGTCCAGTAGAGCCATTTTCAAAAAGCCTTAATTTCTTACAAATTTTTTCTTCTAAGGACCTTCAGATCAATATGCGTGGATTCTTTTAAAAATATTTCACAAAGGTACCCAGGATGATAAGCGTGGATTTCGTTAAGAATATTTTTTCAGGGACTCACGGGGCAGTGTCAAAAAGCGTATATTTTTTCAGAATATTTTTCAACGACCCCCAGAGCAATAAGCGTGCATTGTTTTCATAATCTATGTGAAGGAACCTCGGAGCAACATGTGAATAAATTAAAAAAAAAAAATGTTTTTCAAGGACCATCAATGCAAACAGCGGGAATTTTTATAAATATTTTTTCAATGACTTTTCAAAATATATTTTTAAAAACCCTCACATTTCTTTCAAGGATTCTCGGAGCTAAGAATTTTTTTCAATAACAGAAGAGGCATACTCTTGTTTACAAATTATTTTTGAGAATCTTCAATTTTTAGGAATATTTTTAAGAAATAATCCTGGTTATTTTAAAAAATATATTTTCAGGGCAAAATCGTGGATTGTTAAGAGTGTTTTTTATTTTATTTTTTTGTAAGGGTCCTTTAAAAGTGAATATTGAATATTTATATAAAGGTGACACTTTTAAGGATAACAAGAAGCGTGGATTAAAATATTCATTTCAAGAACGGTATGGATTATTGAAAAACATTTTAAAAGGACACTAAAAGCAATAATTTTGAAATTTTAAAGGATATTTTTTCAAGGCCCATCAGAGTAACAAACATGAATTTTTAAAGGATATTTTTCCAAGGATCATCAGAGCATTATGACTGGATTTTTAGAGGATAGTTTTTCAAGCATCATTAGAACAATAAGATTGGATTATTAGAGGACATTTTTCAAGAACCGTAAGAGCAATAAGCGTGGTTTTTTTACGATTTTTTAAAAGCGGTTACAATCGCTGATTTTTTCATTTTTATGGACTTTCCGACTTAATAAGCAAGGTTTTTTTTAGATTTTTTTTTCAAGGACCTTCAGAGTAAGTCCTAATTTAGATTAGGCGAGTTTATTTGCGGCAAGT